TGGTTGAGCATCCTTGTCCCTGACATAGAGCTTCTTCCAGGCCTTGAGTCACCTACAGGTATGCAAAAACTTATTTGCATCTTTCACAATAGATCAGAAAGGAGGAACAGGAAGTCATATTCAACAGCTGGACTTTATTCAAAGTTACTGCAAAGGTCTTAATAATTAGGGACCTGTAATATATGTAGAGAACTTACAGAGGGTGTAAAAAGTCTATGGATGCTTCTGTCTATTGCAACTAAAAACACATATAGGTGTTAGATATGGAGATAAACTTGACATTAAAATTATTATAAAAATAACAAAACTGAATAAGGTGGAAAGAGGGAGCAAACAGGCATGACAAAAGCAACCCAGAAAGATCCCAGTAGAGTATTGTGAGAAGCTGTAGACTGGAGAGGATGGATTTAGAACCTAGGAAGGTCATGAAGGATGCACCACGGACAACCATGATTAGCTGAAATGGAGTTCTTCTCTAGGGGGTCTGTTGACCAAGCCCCAAGGGCACACATATTTAAGGTGTAGCCCAGTGGGGGGAGAATGTTTGTCCCATTCCCCTTCCTCAGCATAGCTTCACATGGCTGTCTGGGGAGGAGAGGGAAATGGCTGTATTCTTGCTAGTCATGCCAAGTCAATGAGTCACCTTTCATCTTTTATTTCCTAATACATCAGCAGAAATTACAGGGAGCACCTGTAACTATAGAAAACTCACTTTGTATGGTGCTGCTGGCAGGAGAGGAGGAAAGACTGGCAGGATTTGGATCTTTGTCAATCCAGTAGTTTGGGGATGATTTAATTTCCTCTCTGATCAGCATCAGCATGAATGCTGGACAAACAGGATGGGTGCCACCCTTCCTCACCCAGGCAGAGTAATAGTAACTGCTCCCTGGAGATGTAAGAAACTTCAGAACTTCCAAACTCTCATTAATCTCCCTCCATACTTTACCTCCCTACTTCTCTCTGATAATTAACATCAGAAAAAGATTTGAATTTCCCAACAGATGAGACCCTTTGATCTGGAGAGAAGGAACAAGACTGGGTTGAGTTTTACTGTTGCTTTGTTTTTTGGAACATCAGCAAAAGAAAACCACGGAATTCCTTGAAGGTGTGAGTACTTAGACTCTACCAGGTTCCCAGGATAGCTTCATCTATCACGTAAAAGGCCACTTGAGTTAGTATGTTTTAGAATATGTTCCCAGCCACTCATAAAGGGGAGCCATGGCATTAGTGAATTGAGCTTACGTCCTAAAATTTTGCGAGTAAGAGAGGCGAGGGAGGAAGAGATAAAGAGGAATAAAAAAAGTCATTTAAAGGATCTCCTTTTATCTAGTGCATTTAGGATGCAAAGATGTTCATGATTTACAGAAATAGCTTCACCAAGTATCATTCTGACTGACTGTATCCAATATGTCTTAGGACTATTCTTCCCAGACTGGGGACATGAGAAAACTTTTGTGAGAGACATGGGGTGGGTCTATTCTTATTTGTGTCACCCTGGTGAACAAGGTTTTATTCCATCTGACTGCAGTGGGAGTGTGTTCTGTTAAATCCATATGCAGCCCCTGCCCTCTTGCCATAGCCACTGTGTTTGTTTGCTCATCATGTCAGATCTAGAGTGGCTGATTATCAAGATAGGCTAACATCAACTAGTAGTCATTTTGCCCACTTGGTTGTTCAGTGGCTCTTGTTTGGTTGATACTTTCTGGTGGGTATTAATATAAAACACAAACTTCACACTTGTGCTCACTCCCATATATACGTTCATATGCCTTTACTTCATATTTAATTTTCTTTCTGTTTTCTGACCAGCCAGATTGTTGTGCACAGTCCAGGATTCTGTGTACATTCTACTTTTGGACCATGTTTATTTCCATACAAAGTGAATCATCAGTAACGTTATTCATAATTCTGTCCACTGAAGATTTTCTCCCTTTTTTAGTTGTATGGAACCATGGGACTACACAACTGTAGACCTAAAGTAGTGGAAGGACACTGGTGCAACTGTGGTGAGAGATATAGGGGTCTGGGCTACTTTCTCATGCATCTTATATAGGCCTTCTGACCCTACATAGGCTCAATAATGGATGTATCATTCCTATTTCACAAAACTGCTCTGGTGAATGTCTGACTTTGTGATTTGATGGTTTGAAGGAATCAAATAAAAATGGATAGCTCCAGGTGGTAGATCACTTGATGTCTCATAATCAAGCTTTCTGTCTCCAATAACTCCCAGGAACAGATCAAGAAGTTTTTCAAAAAGTGTATATTTCTCTGCTAACAAGAATTCTCTTTGTGAGGCACATTATTCATTATTCCATTAAGTGAGCCTCTGCTTCTGATGAACTTTGAGTTTCTCTCTGAGAACAACTTGATTTGACTTTAGTCGGGAAATAAATTTTGCAGAGTATAAAACCCAACATCTTGAGACATAGTTCTACTGTTTTCTGATTTCCACTTACAATTGAGAAGTTAATTGTCAGTTTTTTGTTCCCTTGAAGGAATGCTTTTTTTAGTATTTGTTACTTTTATTTATTTATTTGGACTTTTTTTTTTTTGAGACAGGGTCTCAATATGTAATTGAGACTGACCTGGAACTCACTATGTAGCCCAGGCTGGTCTTGAACTCACAGTGATCCTCCTGCCTCAGCCTCTGTAGTGCTGGGATTACAGGGGTGCACCACCACGCCTGGCAGTATGTTACTCTTAATGTTCAGTAATGGTCTTTGGTTCTATGAAATTCCATTCTGATGAGTTTAAATGTGCATGTCTTTTTATTATTTTTATTACTCAGGATTTATGGTGCTTCTTAAATCTGAACTTGTGTCCTTATTAGTTTGAGGATGTCCCCAGTTTTTTTCTCTTTAAATAATGACTCTGTCCTATTCTGTCTCTTCCTGCTATAACTCCAAACAATGTTCTAGACTTCCTGATGTCATGCTTCACACCTTTTCTACCTTCTGAATTTTCTTACTTTTTTGTGTCTTTGCTGGAGTGTGGATCTCATCTCATTTATCTTCCAATTTATCAATTCTTTGTTATGCTGGATGGTTATGGCTTTGCTATCCTATTTTGCTTCTCTACTTTTTGTGAGTACTTTGAGGTGAAAATTCTTATGAGGGCCTGTCTATGGCCAGAAATTTCCAGCAAAGACTTCCTTTTTGTTTGCTTTGTGACAAGACAGATCATTCCATGCTCACAAAGTTTGGAGAAAGGCACAGGAGGGTCCAGATCTTATAAGCCTACATTACCCAAACCCCAGGTACACCCTGGGGTTTTGTGCAAGTGTGACTACTGAGCATGAGTGTGGGCTATATACATAGAACATGCAACATTTTAATGCTTCTTTGTTTCAGATCTTGATTCCATAAATCTAGGGTATAGTCTGAAATTTTGTTTCTGACAAGGTGCTAGAGGATGCCAGTACATCACCCACAGACTACTCTCTGTATCAAGGATGTGCAAAATTTTGAAAGTTGCAAAATATAGTTCTGAACACAAATCTTTTAAATGTAGGTCTCTTGCATTTGGATACCCAAATACTATCTTAGTTCGAGTTTTCCCTAAGGAAGACCCTGGATGCAGGAGCTTATTTAGAAGGTGATCTAAGATAATCACTAAAGTGAATTCTAGTTATCTTTATGAGCAACTGGGGCTGTGACCAACTGTGGGGCCTTTGGGAAGTCTTAGTATTTTTCCACTAGTAGACAGGGAGGCTGCTTTATTTATCCACCAGAATGTCTCCAGCAGTCCCTTTACCTTTTGGTAGAATTTATTGCTGAGATGCAAACTCTTCAAGTGTGAAACTTACAGGTGTTGGAATCTGACATAAAGGCTGTGAACTCAGGTATCCATAGGCCTGGAAAAGAGCATCAATGGCATTGCCTCAACTTCTCTTCATGGAAGGGCTGATGTAAGGCACTGAAAGCTCAGAGGAGCTGCAACTGGCTCCCTTCTTCTATAAGAAGATAGTGTCCTAGAGTACACTCACTGACTGTGTCTGTGTATTCAGGGCCTTGCTCTGGGTGATGAACTTTGGTGGAGATCCTGCATGTATGGTGGCTCTGAGAAACTCAGGAGGATCCTCAGTGACCAGCCTTTTCCTGGTCTAAGTTCAGCGAAAATGTGACTGTGGACAAGGAGTGGTTTGAAGCCACATAGATCCTAAAAGATTAGCCTCCTTGTAGGAGCTTGAGGCTCCTACTGTTAGCCGTAACATCCCAGTGTATCATTTTACCTCATCAGAATACAGTCATTGGCTCTGGACCACTCCCATAATGTTTCTTTCCTCAAAGTCAGTATCTGTAACTATATTTCCTGGTTATTGCTTTTCAGGGTTAGCATGGCCTTCTTTTCAAGGGTGTGTGGATTACAACATGCTGTAACTGACATTTATTCATATAAGACTCAGCAAATCTCCTAGTAGCAGGAACTGGCAATTATCCAGGGTGCAGTTTTGGCCTTAATGAGGTGGGCCCTACTTCCTTCTCTGTGTGAATAAAAGGTGTGGACCTTAGTAGAACCTGTCAGGACACTCAAGTGTAGCAGAAGCCATAGTGCCTAATAATAGTGCCGTGAGTCCTCTATACAGATTGCAGCCTGTATCTGGGAGCCTAGTAACCTCTAATCCTCTCTTGCCTCTGTATCTCTGGCCTCAGTGCTTTCTGTGCTCTTAGAACTCTGGTTCTAGGCCTTAATAGGAGTCATAGGTATGACTGCTTCTGCTGGGAGGTAGATTGGGTCCAAGAAGCTGGAAGTGCCACTCTGGTTGGGGTTACTGTAGCTCTGTTCTCTCTGATTCAGAGTCAAACTGTGGCTTAGAACACACTTAAGTCCTCTCCTGGAGATCAGTTTACAGATAAAGGACTTCAGTGCTGGGAAGCCCTGAAACAACACCAACATAATGTCCAGAGGTAAAGATGCTCATGGAAGGACAAAGATTTGGAATGGGGGGCATTCAGTGCCTTTGTCTTCACATATTTTAATTTTTACTTTCTCTACAGAATTATCCATGAAAATACCTTTCGAGAGGCACATTCAAGATCTTGATCAACGTGTGTGGGTCCTTTTGGGCCAGACACTCACAATGGTCCCAAGGAAGGGGAATGTGGTTCCAGGTGAGGGTCCAAGGCCAGTTGCAGGATGTTCCTTTGGCCAGTGCCATTGTGTGCTGGGGTCAGCCTTCATTTCACTATAGGTGTGTTAATTAGGCTTCTCTAGAGAGAAAAGCACTGGATGGCAATTTTGAACACAGGATGGTCAAAGAAGTGTCTGTGACTATTGTAACGAGTCAGAGAGAAGAGAGATGATTCCAGGGAGACCAAAGAGTTAGCTGTGGGAAAGGGAGGAAGGCTTTCTGTAAAACTTGTAAAGAATTGGATCTGTGGAAATATTGGTTTTTGGATCCACAAGCAGCTGACTTTTCTGATGGAAGGATTTCACTGAAGATGGGATGAATCTGAGGGCTGAGTGGTTAGTGGTGGGGTGACCATTTTGTAAGCATTGGTTAGCAGATTCCAATCTCTGTTGCTTTTGAAACTCCAGTTCAGAGGTGCCATGTTTGAAACATAATCTGAAGTCCACTTTCTGCATTACGTTCCCAGTCACTGTTGATTTATATCCATGCAAATATCTGGAGACTCTTGAGAAGGGCAGAGGGAATCCCATGTACCTGGGACTGAAGGAACTACAATGTAGCTTGTTCTGCACTAAGATTGGAGAGGAGACCACGTTGCAGCTTAATGTGAGTACAGAAAAACAGGTCTCTTGCCTGAGTGGGAGAGAGAAGTCTCTTTAATTTATAAGGTGCCATTAAATTTTTTTTCTTTATGCTTATTGGTACATTTTAGGTATACAAAACAGTTACATTCATCACTGGGATCTTGTACCTTTACCTGATGTATCTTGGTTCTTATTTTTTCCCCATTCCCCTGCCATCCCTTCACCCTATTTACAAGACTTTATCCCTTTCCTATTTATAAAGGCTTTATTTCCATTTTTTCCTTTTTTCATATTTTTTATTTTCCCTTTCCCCTAAGGCTCCAACTTCCCCTACTCCTTTATATACAAGGTGCCATTTTGTGGAAATTCTGAATTTAAAGTCTTTTAAAAGACATTCTGTTGATTATCCTTATGCATATTTATTTTTTAACCTCTTTGGATTACATGTATTATGAAACAATAAGAAAAATATAGGGGGTATTTTAAAATTTGCTTCCTAAAATCACTTTTTATTTTATTTTACAAAAATGATTTGGCAAAAGGGGAAAGCTTTTATAGTTATCCTTAGTTTTCATAGAACACACACACACACACACACACACACACACACACACACACACAGTAAAACCAAACCAACAAGGGCATTTTTAGCAGTTACAGGTGGATGAGTTTATTAAACTATCTTCTTAATAAAGAATAGTTTTCAATTTTAAGGGAACAATGATACATTTATGTAACAAATACTTTTTGGGTTCTTTTTGTTTTTTTGGTACTGGGGATCGAACTTGGGACATTGTGCTAAACATTTTAATAATGGTAATGTTTCCCATTATTTAAAAAATTCTACATACTGTACATTATAGAAAGATAATTAAACTAGGCTTCTGGATATAATAGGAATTATTGTTGATTTTTTCAATATACAAGTATAGGTAGATATTCAATCTGATGGCAAGATATAAAACAACAGTTTTCAACTAGGGATGATTTTGCTCCTGGATATTTGTCAAAATCTGTATATTTTTGATTGTCGACACTAGGTGTGGGGGTGTGCTACTCTCACCTAGAGGGTATAGTTCAGGAATGCTATTAAACAGTCTGTAACGCACAGCAAAGCCCCTGACAACAAAGAATTATCTTGCCCAAAATATCAGCGGTACTGAGATTGGAGAAAACTGACATGATTATGTTTTTATTCAGAATTAAATTTTCTTTGGGTATCTCCATTTATCAGTAAATATATAATGGCAAAACCAGTACTTCATGTTCTCTAAAATTTGTATGTCAACATCATCTTATTAATGTTAAAGGTCATGAAAATTTGTGACCTGAGTTTTCACTATACCCTTAACATATGTAACAGTATTTGGGGTGTATGATTGTTAATGCCATGGTATGAAATGAAGGTGTCCACCCCTACTCTTGAGAATGGGGGATAGAATCTTAGACATGAAAGGTCAGAATGCAAGGAATATGGAACGATTCCCATAGTTATCATTCTCCCTGGGGTCTCCTTCTCGCCCTTCAGAAAAAGAACGTAAAGGAACTGTATGATGGCCCGCAGCCTGAGAAACCCTTTCTCTTTTATCACAATGAAGTTGGCAGTACTTCCACCTTTGAGTCTGCGGCCTTCCCTGGATGGTTCATTGCCACTGGCTCCAAAGGAGAATCTCCAGTCTTTATGACCCAAGAAGTGGGGAAAACTCATGTCACTGAATTTGTTTTGACTACACTGAGCTAAGGTCAGTTGAGTTGGGGGTTGCTCCCTATGCAGAGAATATTGCCTTGACTTTCTGAATTCTAGCTTCCAAAGTACTTTGGACATAAACATTGTCATAATGACCCACTGCACAAAGGGAGGCAGAATTACTACAATTGTATCTTTTTTAAAAACATTTTTAATTCAATTTATTGGTACATTCTAGGTATACAGTACAGTTCCATTCATTACTGGGATCTTGTAACTTTACATGACAGGTCTTGGTTCTCATATTTTCCTCTTGTCCCCACCCTTCCTTCACCTCCCTCCCCTCCCTACCTACCAACACTTTAATTCCATTTTTACATTTTTTCACATTTTTTCCCTTTCCCTATTCCCCTTCCACTACCCATCCCACCTTCCCTACACCTTTAGCCCTTTTCTTCCCATTTCATAATGTCAGTTATCTCATTAGGATCTTATGTACTATTACAGTTTATTCACACCAGAGAAACTACTCAGTATTTACACATGTGTAAATATTTATTTCACTTAGGAGTATATCATCAAAATGTATCCATTTTCCTATGAATGAATCTAATTTCTCATTCTTTATGGCTGAGTAGCATTCTATTTCATAGAAAAACCACATCTTCTTTATCCAGTTTCCAACTGATGGACAAATGGGCTGTTTCCAAGTTTTAGCTATTACAAACCATGCTGCTATAAACAGATGCACATATGTCACTGTGATGTGATTTTTTTAATTCTACTAAAATTGTACCTTATTTTCAGAACTAGAAACCAGGTCACATGGGGAATAAGCAGAATAATCTTAAACCATAAAAGGAAGAGAAAATTTGTTAGGCTTTCTGTCCAAAGATATCTCGCTGTCCCTCAATATATCAATGAAGTGACTTAAGTGCTGCTTCAGGGTGCATGGGAAATGGCTATGAGCAATCAAGGGCCTTTGGTATGACCATGTAGCTAAACTGTTTTACACTTCCACAAAAAATAAGAAAGCTCCTTTTAATGTACTTATGAGTAATGTGCCTATTAAGAAATGGTGACTCTTTTAAGTCCAGGTCTCTGAATTTTCAGATATGTTGCCCTGTTGTGTTAAATCAAGACCATTTGCCTCCTGAGCACAACTAAATATAAAAGTCACACACACACAAAAAGAGAGACCAAAAAGAAAGCTGAGCTCTTTTTGGCTGTATTTTCATTGTGGTTTGCATGAAGAACTGCTGATGTTTATGAAGGCTTCATCCAAAGCATTACCTCTGGGTTTCAGAAGGAGATAAATTTATGGAATAAATTTTTAAAATTTCAATTTCCCTGTTGTGAATGGAATGGAGTTAATGGGAATGTCATGGTTATGATATTGATTTTTTGAATTTATAAAGAGATTTATAGTTTGCAAAGGAGGTTCACATGACACGTCTAATCCTTAAGAGGAATCCTTAGGGTTGTTGGGGACTGTGTGTCTTTTTAAACCAGGTTTCCAAATATTTTTTTCCCCAAATATTGGGATGGGTGGGACAAAGAGGGCTCTGCTTATAGAAACTATTCTCTACATTTCATTGTACAATGGAGATGCATGGTCACCCGGAAGCTCCCCTGTCTTGCTCTGGAGAGTCTGTGGATTTTCCATGTAAACTCATAACCAACCCAAAATCTGGGATATGAGGCAGGAGTTTAGGGCATGGCAGGCTGGCTGGAAAGCTGGATGTAACCTGAAAATTACAAAGGACTAGAATGGATACTAAGCAGCAAACTGTAACTTGTCAATCAGGGAAAGCTGTCAAGATGTGTGCAGCACAATTTCAGATGGACAGGATCTGAACAAATATAAAAGAAGCAATGAGTGACCTAAGGATTGCTCCTGTCCTCCTGCTTCTGTAGTGGCTTATTTTGCATGCAGGATACATCTCTTCTTGAATTTTTCTTTTTCTTTACATTCTCATTTTTTTTCTTCTAATTTAAATAAAAGTTGTATTTTCACATTTATCAACTGTCCTGTCCAACTCACTGGGCAGGATAGCAAGAGCCTAGACCCACTGGACAGCAAGTCATCAGGAGACAATATGGCTTTCAGTCATCAGGAGCATATTTATTTTGAAAGCTTGTCCTTTCCCCTACATTTTTAAATATAATATTTTTTTAACAAAAAATCAGTTCAAACTTTATTCTTTGCAATATGATGATTCCTAAAATAATTTCAATAGTCTTGTTGTAATTTTTTTTCATTGAGTTTATTGATACCTTTTAGGTATACAGCACAGTTACATTCATCATTGGGATCTTGTACCTTTGCATGACAGATCATTTTTCCCCCATACCCCTGCCTTCCCCTTACCCCTCCACCCTTCCCTATTTACAAAGACTTTGTTTCCATTTTCTCATATTTTTTCTTTTGCCTTATTTCCTTTCCCCTACTTGTTGTAATTTTTTACTTTTTATAATAGTTTTACTTGTCCCCAAGCTTTGGAGAAAGATGTGGCAATATTCTTTTCTAAAACGCACTTATGATGTCCAGCGCTCTGGCATGGTCCCAACCTACACATCTCATCCTGGATCTTTCTATTTTTCAGTATTTGAGTGATGGCATTGCCATCAGAGATGATATTTGTCTTGGAAATAGCACAGGGATTCTTGAGCTTTTCCTTTCTCATGTATTCTATAAAAGGGCAGTGCTATTTCACTTCTGCCTTTCCTGGTGTTGGTAATTTCCTTGGAGCTGTAGGGTGACTGGGATACTTAGGGGAGTAAAATGACTCTCTTAATAATTACACTGGGCTAATGGGCACAAACTGAGATGCCCTTGGACCAAGTGAATGAGATGGTCTCCAATATGCAGAGCTATGGAGAAACTTGGCCACTTTCAACAATGCCTAGACATTCCTTTTCCTGGAAGAAGCAGTTTAATCTTTTTGTGGTATTTACTTACCTTGTCTTTTGCTTTTCTAATAAATTCTCACAATGTATGACTTTTTCCCTTAGCATCCCTTGGCATAAATGCCATGATTTAAAAATTATGGTAAAAACATTAATATGAGATCTATCTACTTAACAAAAATTTAAGTATACAATATAGGATTGTTAACTCTAGGGAAACTGTTTTACTGTAGATTTTTAGAACTTTCCAGTTGTTCCAAAGAGCAACTCATTGTTTCTCTTCCTTTCTAGCAACCGACCTTCTACTCTCAGTTTGTAACAATTTTACTGGTGTGGATACTTTATCTTTAAGTGAAATCATGTACTATTTGTCCTTCTGTGATTGTCCTATTTCACTTAGCATAATGTTTCCAGGTTCAACCAAATGGCAAGATTGTTTCCATTTTTAAAAGTCTTAACAAAATTATATTGTTGATAATTGCCATATTATCCATATCTATTCACTCATTAATGGGCATTGAGGTTGTTTCCATACCATGACTATTGTGCTTAATGCTGCAATGAACATGGGAGGACACAGTAAACTAAAGTTTTAACACAAGACCTGAAACTATAAAACTGCTAGATGTAAACACAGGGGAAGTTTTTGACATTGGTTTAAGCAAGATTTCTTGGAAATAAACCAAAAGTATAAGGAACAAAAGCAAAAATACACAAATGGGATTATAATCAAAGTGGAAATTTTCTGCATAGCAAAGGAAACAAAAGTAAGAAGGAAATCAATAGAAAGAGAAGAAATATTTGCAAATTATATAACTGGCCAGGTTACTATCCAAAATACACAAGGAATCAAAAATCAATAAAAAAGCCCCAAATAATCAATTAAAAAGAACAAAGGACTTTTGAACAGATATTTATTCCCAAAAAGCATGAAAGTGGCCAACAGATATTTTAAATACGTTCAACATTTATTAATAATCAGAAAAATTCAAATCAAAACTGCGATAATACATACTTCACAGCTATTAGAATGGCTGATATCTTCAAAATAAAAACAAGTGTTGGTAAGGACGTGGAGGAATTAAAACCCTTGTGTACTTTGTGTAGGAATATAAAAGATACAGTTGCTATGGGAAACAGTATACAAGTTAATGCAAAAGTCAACAATAGCACTACCATGTGACTAATAAATTCTACTTTGGGGTATAAGCCTCCCAGAGTTCTGAAATTCAGGTCTTTGCCACCCTGCCTGACTTATGACTGCATTTTTGTTATTGTGTTTGTTGTTTATTTTTGAGTTTGTCTTTTGCTATGTTGCTGAGGCTTATCTCAAACTGCTGAGCCCACAGAGAAAGTGGAAATAGAGCTTTTTCAAAAGGAAGGGAACAAGAGCTGTAGGGAACAGGGAAGGACGGGATGGAAGGGACAAAAGAATTAAGATGTGGTATGTATCTGAGCAAACTCTCTATAATAAATATAATCATTATATACTGCAAACATGTGCTGCTACTACTACTATTGCTACTACTACTACTACTACTATTACTAACATTTAAAAATAAAAAATGCCTTGCTGAGCTCAAGGAATCTTTCTTCCTTGTCCTCCTAAGTAGCTGGGACTATAGACATGTGCTGCCATGCTAGCTTATGACTGTATTTTTAAGCAATTTATTTTATTATGTTTGCACTGTTTTCTAAAATTAGTTTTTTAACAGAGTCAAGCACAAAAGTCATATGATCATTTCAATAGATGTGGAAAAAGCATTAGACAAAATTCAACACCCATTCATGATAAAAACCCTGTAGAAAACTGGAATAGATGGGCTTTATCTCAACTTGATAAAGGCTATCTATGAAAATCAACAGCCAACATAGTACCAAATGGTCAAAAACTGAAAACCTTCTTGTTAAGATCAGGAACAAGACAAGGATGTCCACTATCACCACTTCTGTTCAATATAATTCTGGAAACATTAGCCACAGCAATTAGATAAGAGAAAAAATTAAAGTTTGTCATTATTTGCTAATGATATGATATTCTGCATGGAAGACCCAAAAAAGCTTCACCAAAAGACTTCTAGACTTAATTGACAGATTCAGTAGAGTAGCTGGATACAAGGTAAACATAAAAATCAATAACCTTC